ATTACACCCATTTAACTATGACAAAAGCATAACAAATCATCTCATCGCATTTTATTCACTACTAATTGAACATGACAAGAGAATATGACTAGACAAGACTGTACATAACAARTGTACGTYCGGTGTATGGTACGACTAGGACTGGATATGACTAAACTAGACAAGTAGTCCCTAAAWATTGTATGATGATTTTATATATCATATAGTAGTTAMAATTAACACAAGTAAAGTAAATAATTTAATTTATGAACACTTTTACACAATTTTCATATAATAAATATATACATATAATAGTACCAAATTTGGATGAAAAWTTTGATATGATTGATGGTAGTTTGAAAAAACCATATTCATATTATTCGGTGGGGAAGATCCTTATTTATTGACGAATACATGGTGAAGATTGTTGCAACAATGGTTGTGGAGATAGAGACATTGGTGATTGGTGGACAATGGTGGCTATGGAGGACGTAAAGATGGTAAACGGTGGTGGTGGTTGATAGTGGTGGAGGAGGTAGTTTGTGGTCGATTTGGTGGAAGTGGAGGTTGTGTTAGTCATGGTGGAGGTGAAGGTGGCCGACGATACTAGTGGTGGTAGAGATGAACAGTGGTGGTTTGTAGCTGATGGTGGTTGTGGAGGGCATGTAGATGGTAGAGAGTAGTAGTGATGGCAGTCGATAGTGATGAAAGAGATAATTATAACCGATGTGGTGGAGGTAGTGGTGGTGGTTATGGTAATTGTGGNTGGTAGAGAGTAGTAGTGATGGCAGTCGATAGTGATGAAAGAGATAATTATAACCGATGTGGTGGAGGTAGTGGTGGTGGTTATGGTAATTGTGGAGGTATGTGAAGGTTGTGGATAGTGGTGTGGTGGCAATCGACAATGATGGAGGAGGTAGTTGTGGATGAGGTAGTTGTGCTTGATGTAGTGGAGGTAGTGGTTGTGGTGGGCAATGGTAGTGGTAGCTGATGGTGGTGATGGATAGTGGTAGCCGATGGATAGAAGTGAGGTGGCCCATGGTGGTAATGGTGGTGGTGATAAAGAACGATGGTCGACTGTCGATGGTTGTAGTGGTAGCAACGATGATCGGTCGTGGTCGGTGGCCGACGGTGGTTGTGGTGGTAGAGGATGAGGTTGTTGTAGTAAAGGAAAAGGTGGAGGTGGTCAACAGTGGTGGTTGGTGGCCGATAATGATTATGGAAGTGATGATGGACGATAGTGGTCGGTAGTTGTGGATGAGGTTGTTGTAGTGGAAGATAAGGTGTAGATGGCCGACGGTGGCTTCCAATAGTGGTCGTGACCATGACTAGCGGTAGTGGCCACTAAAACAAATACCATAACAAGGTTATATATCAAAAGAGGGTTAATTAGTAATATTTTGTTTCTGTCTCATTCTTGTCCCATCAAGAAAAAGCTTTTTTTGTCCTACGTTGTCTCACATTCTCCTAGTTTTTGTCCATGTCTCATGTCATACCAAACGTAGGAAAGTGAGTTCTTGTCCTGTCTCATGTCGTGCCAAACGCAAGGCTGACCCTGGTGTAACACCCCAAAGCCCAAAGCAACGAACTAGCCCAATAACTTCGAATTCAACTTAAAACCATGGTGAAAGTTATTGGTAGTCCACTACTTGAG